CCATGGGTCCCTCCATAGCGGAGTGGAGTACATACGCATCTCACACGGGCCAACACAGGCCCCTGCATGAGACTGCATGCTTCCCAGCCTGCCTCCGTGTTTCCTTTACCACTAGCATAGGTTTGTCTTCAAACGTGGGATCATGAGTATGTACAGAAAACGGGGAGACGTTGGAGCTTGTGACCAGTTTCTAGTTTGCTACTTGCACGTCAGTAAAAGTATGTCAGAGGTCTTTCAGAAAGAGGCCACCTTCAGACAGGAAGAACCCTCAAAGTCCATGTGTGTGTGTCTTGGAGGTAGAAGACAGATAGATGTGTTTTCCACTCCACTGTGGAAGGAGCCTGACCTCCCCAGCTCCTTGAGGGACAGCTAGAGAGCTGGGCTCAGGTGGAGGCTGGAGAGTCGAGTGTTAATCTCCGTTAGATAATGATGCTGAGGGCACTGTCCTAGCATAGTGAGAACTCTCTGCAACCTCATAGCCAGGACTGTTTATTCCTGTCGCAGGGTCAGAAGACCACCCTGTGAGTTCAGGCACCTCAGGCCTTCCCAGTGGCTGCTGCTTATGTCCCTCCTGTATCGGGGACCCCGGTACTGACGGTGGTGGGCATGGGAGAAATGGCTGAACACTGAACATCTGCATCTCCCCATGGGAGTCCACTTTGTGCTCTTGGTCTAGAAACCTTCAAGAGAGCTGTTTTCGGAAATCTATTATAGTTTTATTCCCAGAAATCTCAAAATAATTCCAAGGCTTCCTGGCATGTGACCTTTTTCTTCTTTTCTTCTTTTCCTCCACCCCACCCCACCCCCCTTTTTTTAAATTCAGTTCCAGAGATTTTGTTGAAAAGAAAAGCAGCCATACTGGTCCCAGATCAAAAGAAAAATATTAATATGTTTGCTGAGTTCTGAAAACACAAACTCCACAAATTTCTATGAAAACATGAGAAAAATCCATCAGTCTAAACCACTGCAATTCTTGTCAGGGTCAATGTCAAATCATGACATGAGACACGTTCAATATTTTAATTCTATTCAATTAAATGTGGAACAAAATAAAAATATTTTAATTGTTGTCTCCAAAGAAGCACATGCAAAAGAGACAGACCCACAAATCTGTCACCCACAAAATATGTAAAAATGGCCTCAAACTACGGGTGCCAGCTGTAGCTGGACGCCCTACAGCATGGCTAGCTTCCACCCCAGCAGAAAGGGTGGGTGGACATTGTACTTCTTAAAGGGCAATATGGAAAAAAAAGAAAAACTTGATTTCATGCCTCTTTGTCTAGCTCAGGGGACCAGAGCTAATATGGGTCTGGTAGAGCTTACAGCCTTTGTAGTCTTTGAAAGATGAAGGAGATTGTCAGTTGTGGCATGATTCAACAGGCAGCCAATGCTGTGCCTGGGTCTCATGGCATGAGGTCCACTCCCATAAGCCATCTCTCTCAGGGTTGATGCGCAGTGTGGGAGGAGTAGCCCACGGGACTACAGGTTAGCAATGCCTAGTGTAAGCCTCCCTACACAAAGCTCCTATCCCCTGTTAATCCCTTACTTCCGCTATGAGACAGGTCATGGGCAAAGGTATACCCCAACAGAAAAAATTCATTCACCATAGATGGGAGCAAGCCTCCTGGGGTCCCACCTGTACCCCAGTGTGCCAGAGGCGTGTGATGCCTACCTATCTTGAAGGATACATGTGTGGAGGACACCCTCTCCTCCAGCTCTGCATATACTACTTGTGCTGGCTACAGCCCCACATAGGCAGAACATAAGCAGGACTCAGAAAGCTGCTGGAGTCTGTGGTGTTTTTATTGTAACCCTTTCTATTTAAGTTACACTTGCTTTGGAGAGGCGTCACATCTGTGTCTCCCCGTTATGATTTTAGAGATTGCAGGTTCCCCCTGATGAAGGGATGAAAACTCCACTAAGAAAATTATCCACAAACAGGAGGCTGCCTGCACACAGCAATGACCCAGGACACCCTGAGAGACCATCTCTGTACACTTCAAGGTGACTCCTGTCGCAAAGAAATCAAATTGTGACCAGAGCCGGCAGAAGTCCAAGCAGCTCCCCTAGAAAGAGAGAGAGCACCCCCACACACACTGTCATTTTGCCACCACTGAAATCATAAAGCCCCCACCCCAGGCCTCATCACTCTCCTCATCCCTTTACTGGTCCTCAGCAACCATGGCAGCAGCAGCTCAGTCTGACCACTTCCTTGTGGTCCATCATAGGATACCCGGCTGGGGTCATCCAAGAGAATGTGGCCGGAAGCAGGAACAAAGGATGCCAGGCTTTGCGGAGCCACGTGACCACCACCGCTTCCCACGGGGCTCAGTTTTGAAAGCCAAGATCTCCTAGGCAATTGCTTCTAGAAGCTTCAGTCAGGATTAAACCCTAGTATTTTAAAACGTTTTTCATTTGTTCCTCTTCCTTCTGTACATATAGCTGAGATAGCAACTCAGATAGCAATTCCTTAAATGTATGTTTAGCACTCACTGCTCAGACATCAGTGAGGGAAGGACATGGAGCCAGGTGTGGCCGCTGTCATATCAACTGCCCACAGCCTCTGGCACCATGCTGGTAGGGAATCCATTAAACCCACGGCACTGCTTCAGCCACACTGTCTATTTAGAGGAGTGAGAATTCTGGGAAGGGTGGCCTGTGGCTGGAATTGCAAGAGTGGAACCGTGCACAGGACAGGATTCCTTGAATTTGAAAAGCATTCCTAAAATACATATTCGATCTCTATAATGAGCAGACTCAGTCACTCCTTTAAGCACTGGGACATGAAGCACCACTTTGGGGTCCAGATTGTGACACCAAGAGGCAAAGCCTAAGGACAACTCAGAATTCCAACACGGAGTTCCATGTCTCTTCCTGGTGGCAGGTGCAGCATCCTGCCATCGTGGTACCCAGCCACCTCAGAAGAAGGTGCACAGGCTAGCAGCATCCATATCTGAGCCCAGCTGAAAACAGAGTGTGAGACCTCTTAGGACAGAGAGGAGACTGCTTGCTCTCAACCTACAAGGTGCTACGAGGAAGCAGATTCCTGTGCTGTCCATGGGGTAGCGCCTCAGTCATAAGGGACTGCAGGGTGAATCTGAATGGAACCTTTGTGAGATGTTCTCTGAGACCACAGAGCACTGTTCAAGGAGTCTTTCCAGGAGGGGAAGCAGCAACTCACCAAAGTCATCAACTCCAAGGAAACGTCAGGACCTAATACAAGACTTGACTTTGAATGAAGCAAAGGGGTGTTATGCTAGTTAGAGCAGAGCCACCCACCGCGCACCTGAATGTGCCAAGTGGTGGTGGTGGTGGTGGTGTGTGTGTGTGTGTAAGTGCGGATGCACACATCCATGTGCATGGCTACATGTTTATGGGGATGTGAAAACATGTTTGCAGAGGTATGTGTGTGACTGCATGTGTTCTTCACAATAAATAAAAATTTCTCATTCATGTGTTCCCTGAGAAAATTAAACATCCAGAGAGAGACAAAAGGCAACAGGACAAAGTTATAACATGGAGTATGTCATGTCAGGTGGATGAGAGGCAATAAGCTATTTTGTTTGTTTGTTCTTTTAATAAACAAAACTTGATGTTTAGGGGCAAACAAAGAATGTCATTTGCAAATGACATTTATCCTAAGAGCCCTCTTTTCCTCATAATCGCTAAGAAAGGCAGATGACCACCAGCAGGTTATTTTGTGTGTGTGTGCAGTACTGAGTATTCTCGTTGTGGTATTGTCCCCCCACCCCCAACGAGACAGGGTCTCACAATGCAGCTATACTGGCCTTGACCCCAAAGTGCTCTCCTAGACTCACCCTCGGACGACCTAGGACTATAAGGCATGACCCACCATGACTATGTCCCAGGTACTAAGCCTAGGGCTTCATTCACGCTAGGCTATCACAGCGCTGCCTCCCAACCCTCTCCTCACTTTTCATTTTATCTTGAGGTAGGGTCTCACTAGTCCAGGCAGGATTCTCCTGCCTCAGGTTCCCAACTACTGGGATTGCAGGCCCTACCATGCCCAGCCGGAATAGAGACATTTGATCTTGTCAGTGGGAGAGCCCTCTGGGCTAAAGGACAGTCTGTCTGCATTACCTGTAACAGGGACCCAGGTCTGCCTAGCAGAACTCTGCAATTTGACAGAATGAGTAAACAATTTGGCAACTCGGTTAATTGCAGGCAGAGGCATGGCCCTGGTGGTGGCTGATGTGGTCGGGCTGTTTAGAGGGGAGGATTGTCGGGGTTAATGGCTCATCAACACACATCTTCTCAAGGCCATTTTAGTCTGTGTGGTCTTGTTTCCCAGAGATTCAGAGAAAGTAAATCCCCTTTGAAAGCGCTCTGTGCTTGCCGCTAAGCTGAACCCTTCATTACTGTGGGAAGCTTTTCCAGCCTTTCTCTAAGCTCTAACTCTGAATCTAGTTGCTAATCAGAAGACTGACAAGTCCAAGGGTAAAGTCCACACCAAACTGACCTCACTCACTAAAAAAAAAAAAAAAAAAAAAAAAAGAAAGGAAAAGCTGATAATTATCTTAGAGCACTTTAAGGGGAAAACAAACAAACAAACCTGAAGCGCTGGCAATAAATATGTTTTACGATGACATAAAACACTTTGGGAGCATCAGACAGTTTGTAAAAATGACTGCTTTGTGGCTGGAGATGGTTCAGTTGCTAGAGTTGCTTGCCTAGCATGCAACCACACCATAAACTAGGTGTGGTTGTATACGTCTTTAATCCCAGTACTCTGGAAGTGGAAGTACAAGGATCAGAAGTTCAAAGCTGGCCTTTGCTACATAGTAAGTTCCAGGCTAGCCTGGCCTACATAAAACACCATCTAAAAAAAATTATTACTTTAAAAGTCATAAAAATTATTCTTCAAATGCTCTGAGAAATAATTGCCAGCTTAGAAACTTTCAAGCTATTAAGTGTGAAAGTAAAATACCCATGCCCTCTCCACACAGCACTCTCTTCCAGCCAGGACCATCACTGCTCACCTTTGCAGTTCCCACGATGGGCAATCTCTAGCTGTGGATCTTTGCACTTGGCCCGCTGGAACTCACATCGGGACAGGAAGGTCCGCCCATCAGAGGCACACAGAGGCTTCTGAGAGGAGCTCGGGCAGTCCAGGCTACAGTCTCTGTCTTTGTCTTGATCGACTCTCAAGAACTTGGGGGAGAAAGAGAAGCAAGAGAAATTTAAAGAACTCTCATTGAGAGGACAAACAACTCCGCAGTCAGAGAAAGACTCCAAAGAAACATCACCACTCTGTGCTCACACCTGACAGAACCATCAAGGGAATTGCTTTCAAAATGGTAAGTCATTATCTGTTTCACAAATAGATAACAGCTGACAGGTCCAAGCCTAAGGTCTGCCAGGAAGACACATGCAGCCTTTCTCCCACTCACCTTCCCCTTAGGAGCCTAGGAAGGAGCTCGCCTACTCTGTCATCCTAAGAATTTGTGGTTGTCATTGTTGCTGTTTATAGCCCTTTTGCCCATCCTCTCCTACCTATGGGAAGCTGCAACTGTCAGGAGTATGCCCTGCAGGAATGGGAAGGAGAGCCTCCTTTTTAAAATGGTTCCATTGTCAGAATACATTTGTGTTTACCCCAGTGAATTAGGTTATTGGTTCTTGTTTTGGGTTTTGTTGTTGTTGTTTTCCTACAACAGGGTGTTATGTAACCCAGGGTGGTCTCAAATTTGCTATTGAGTCAAGGATGGCTTTGAACTCCTAACTCCCCTAGCCTCCACCTTCCAAGTTCTGAGATTACTGAAATATACCACTTCATCTCATAATTTTTATTCTTATGTCTTGAAAGTTACTGTTTTTCAACAATTGTTTGTTGAGTGAATGTTTGGTCCTACAATTGAGAAGCTGCTGCACCCCAAGGTGCTGAAATGAAATTCTTTGGACTGCTTGTCTCACAATCTTTCCCAATGCAGGAAGAGTAGGATCTAAGGGGCCACACTCCTCACAAGTTCTCACAAGAGCAATAACACTGAGACCCTCCCTGTAGGACCCATGGAGCTTACCCACAGGAGCATTTTGCTTGATGTAGTTCCCAAGTACAGATTTCCCAGGCTTTTGAGCCCTCTTTCTTGGCTCATATGCTTGAATTCACTATGACTCCTACAGAAATCTCAACCCAGACACTTCTGGCCCTGCCCATTCTCCTTGGACAAGATATCAAGTTTCCTGGCCAACCTTTACCTTGCTTCCTAGTCTTTATGCCCCAGACCATGTCTTGTCTCATCATGCACTGAGCCAGAGAGAAGAGCAAGCGGAACCACAGCCCTCCCTCTGGTTGTGAGTGCCTCCCATGACACAAGTTTCACCTCTGGAGCCAAGGCTAGACACAGAGCCTTAGACAAGGTGCTGCCAGGGGACAGGACTTAAGGGAAGATAGTGCAGGCCATTTTGAAAGCAAATGGATAACTCCAAAATTTTCTGGAACTGGAGAAGAACACCTGACTGAGTTGGAAACTCGGCTCCACTCTGCAGCCTGGAGTTTGCAGACAAAGCTATACCAAGAGGTCTGGCCTTAAGAAGGTTTTAGACATCTGAACAAGTGTTGTCTCTAACTATGTGGCCTCACATTGGTCATACACTGTCTCCAGGGGAAATAGTCCCCATGAAGATGGAGACATAGACTGCTCTTAATCCTCATCTATGAACAAGGTGGGTCTGGGGAGTGAATGTAGAGCCCAGCTGTGAAAACTGAAACCTCCGAATTCAGGGCCTACATTCAATAGCTGGTGCAAGAAAGCCTTCATACCTCACAGCCTCTGAGTTACATTTGTAGACATTTAAAAACAAAGAGAAACTACTGAATGAAATACATTTTTGTCATAAATTACAGAACTAGATAAAATCTGAGGGCCAGGAAGACACCTGTGTGGCCCGGGCAGACATGGAGAGACAGACAGACCAGGGCTCTGTGCCCAAAATGAAGGATTTGCATCAGCTTCAGAACTGGGACACTGCATCATGCCCCAGGCACTCACAGCCTCTTCATGTGTGAAATGAAGACGATAAAACAATGCCCATTTCATAAAGATCACCATGAACATAAAACTAGATTGTGTTCTGGAAATATCTTGACCAGACACAAAGACATCATTGGCAATGAACCCTTCCAATCACATACGTAGGGTTTATTATTTTAATATGCCCATGTCCACTGTGGCTTCTTTCAAACATTCACACAAATATTACTGTCCTATGTGAGCTCCAGGCACACGGGAGCTCCTCCTACCTATGCTTATTTCCAGATAAAAGATTAGTAAAAGAGCGAAGTGGGTTAAAAGGGGGACAGTAAGTCTTTTAGGAAGGTGTTAGAAAGGTGTGGGAAGATTCATGTAAGGAAAAACAGAAGCTCGGCTCTGTCCCAGGGTGGCTGGAATAAGTTAGGGGGCATTTGGAGACAGGTGGACAGGGAGAGACTAGGGCTAGAGGTCAGTCTCCCAGGACCACAGGTAAGAAAAATGTCACCTTGCATGAGGAGTGAAGGTAGGCCACCCAGGATGAGGGTATGATAGATAACCCCAACTCTATGACATGGCTGAAATTCTAGACAGAGCAGAAAACATCTAAGACATCCATTCATATGTTCTCTCTTTCTCTCTCTTTCTCTCTCTCTCTCTCTTTCTCTCCCTCTCCTTTCTTCCCTCTTTCCCTCCCTCCTCTGATTTTATTATTTGTCTTAGTGGACATAAAACCGTGTTTGCTTATTTTATAGACACATTAGGCATGCCTATTTGGGTACTGTGACCTGACATTTCCTATGATTCTTTCAGCTTCTTCAGTGTGTGGTAAGGAAGGCACAGCTGGACTCACATACGGGTCAGCGTGCCCTTTTTGCTCTACAGTTCTCTTCCTCATGTCCCTGAACTTTTCCTCTTATCTCTTGTCCTTGCCTTCTCCTCCTACCTACTACCAGTGATGGAAGCAGGTGCCTTTGCTTATCGTTGGCACTTCCTGGATGAAGTTCAGTTAAGACTGATACGGTTTGTGTATATAGAGTTAGTGTGAACTTCCTTATCTTAATTTCTTCCTAACAGGGCTGCTGTAGTTACTCCAATAAAAGAGTTATCTTTGGCACTAATGAAATCACCTTCCTCTGCATTCAGTCATTATTCTTTTGGGTCAGAGGTGCTGTATCTGCAGACTCACCATGTAGTCCTGAGACAGACCTGGGCTTCAGACAGACCTGCTCTGTCTGAGGTTTCCTCACTGTAAAGTTTGTGAAGGTTCCACAGTCCATGTGCACTGTCTCCAGTAACAACCAAGAGGAGTTTCCTATCCAAGACCCCAGGAGGAAGTAAGAAAGTGCCAATAAAACATCAACAACTCTCATTGCAGGTCACAGGTCTGGGCTACCACACAGGCTTGGGATACGGAAGAACCTTAAGTGAATACTCAGCAAGTCAAGTTGGAACCCTTTAACTGGAAACTGCTGGGAGATGGCTTTTTACCCATGTACATGGTCTCGGTGCCTCCTACAGGACTGGCCTTGTGTTGATGCTCAATACTGCTTTATAGCCTGAGCCAGGTCAATGTGGCAGGGAGGATGGCAGGGAGAGGAGAGTTTGCGAAATTGAGGTAGGACTCCAGGAGACGACCTGGAGCTCAAAGAATACTGGGCAGCCAGCAAGCTTGTAGAAGGACCCTGTGGGTCCTCCCACTGTCTGTCCCCTCATTCCTGCTCCTCCTTTTCCTCAGGCTTCATCACCTCTCGGGCTGTCTCCCAGCTTAGAGCTTGAACAAGCTCGCTATTACAATGGTGAGCCAGGCTTTGGATGCTTCTGAAAGCCTTGTTTGCCACGTGTATTATTTCCTTCCAGTTAGATCCTTCTCATGAAATGCTACCAGTAGCCTTATCTTGCAAAGGAGGCAACAGAACAGCCAATAATCACCATGCTCCTGTGCTTTCACAGAAGACAAGTGCAGGCATCCTCAGTGGTCAGACTCAGCAGCCTGCTGCTATGAAAACACAAACCATGGAGTCCTGCAAGGTGTCACATAGAAACTACATTATAACTTTATTATGCAGTTGAGTTGAAAGCCCGTCCTCAGGAGAACCCAAACCATGGAAATACACAAACAATGCAGGTACACATGACTTCAAGAGGCAACCTATGCCTATAAGTCTCTGCAGTGCTGGCTACCCAGCATGAAGCCAAGCCCTTTGCTTTCCACCATACAGCATGCAGCTTTCTCAAGCCCTCAGATCAGAGGAACCCTACCGCTTAGCCAACTCAAAAGCAAACCTGGGGAGCAATTTCCTAAGCGTGAGGGATGTACCAATCCAGTTCATAAGTGAGGCTGAAGCAGGGGGCAGCCATTTCCTAAGCACCATCTTTCCAGACCCCACCATCTTTATATTTTAAATATCTGTAATGTGAACCAAGCCTGAGTGGCCAAGGGCTCTCGGACCCCTGAATGGAGGCCAACCAATGTCCACTCCTCGGCCCATCCAGACCCTTGTGCTACTGAAGATCTCTCTCATTCTCTGCCAACCCACACACCATCACACAGCTCTGCTTGCACTCACACACACTTTTGCTTCCTGGGAAACCATGTTCCTCACACTTTCTTAGAGTAGAATGAGTGTTTTCCAGGAAGCGCAAGCCAGGATCTCCCTGGAATCATTGGTGCAAAGTGAGCTCACACTTGGGGCCCTACTGTGGGAGCTAGCTTGTGAATGAGCAGCTCTGAGAAGATCCTGTGTCCCACTGAAACAGGCACTTAGATTGTGCTTCTGTTCAAAAGCATTGACTCCTCAGTTGGGTCCACAAGGAAATGGAAAGCAGGATGGAAAGCCTGACACCTGTGCCTTGCTTTTGCATCTGTCTGTCTCCTTTACTTTGCATGAAAGCACAGAGATATTTTTAACCTCTTCTTGAGTTGCCTTTTATTCCCAGATGATCATAGCCTGTCAGGAAAGACCCCCACACACACACACACAAACGCGCCCATCACTAGTAATTATCCACCAGAGAAGGCTTCACCTGGAGCAGAAATGAGCACATCCTGAGAACCCCCTTGTCCCCTCTTTCAGGCTATCCTGTGGTGCTGGGAGGAGCTGAGTCAATGATGGACCAACAACAGGCAGGACCACACCTTGGCCAGGGATACTTAATTGTGAATCCACCTCCTCTGGTTCT